GCCTTCGGCTCAGGTCATGATCCCAGGGTCCTGGGATCGAGCCCCGCATCGGGCTCCCTGCTCGGCGGGAAGCCTGCTTCTCCTTCTGCCCCTTACCCTGCTCGTGCTCTCTCTCTCTCTCTAATAAATAAATAAATAAAATCTTTAAAAAAAATAAGTATGTAAGTATCTTCAGCTAGCAGCTCATCATAAGTAAACCAATAGGAAAAACTTTACCTTGGCAGAAAAAGAGATGAAGAAGTCTTTTTTTCTTTTTAAGATTTTATTTTTAAGTAATCTCTACACCCAACATCGGGCTCAAACTTACAACCTCAAGATCAAGAGTCACATGCTCTACCGACTGAGCCAGCCAGGTGCCCAGAGATCAGGAAGTCTTAATTGGAGGCGCCTGGGTGGCTCAGTCGGTTAAGAATCTGCCTTCAGCTCAGTCATGATCCCAGGGTCCCAGGATGGAGCTCTGCATCTGGCTCCTTGCTCAGCAGGGAGACTGCTTCTTCCTCTCCCTCTGCCCCCGACTTGTGCTCTCTCTTTCTCTCTCAAATAAATAAATAAAAATCTTTAAAAAAGAAAAAAAAAAGTCTTAATTGGTTGGTGACAAGTTCACGTGTTCCATAAAGAACAGTGTAACTCAGCAATCCACACCATTTATCCCAACGTACACAATAGCCTCACGTAACAACATTTAGCTAACAGGGGAGAAGAAGATCCAAGACAACAACAGAGGAAGAGGACCTCTTTTACTATTCCAAGCACATAAAGGTATGGTTCGCAACAGTCTGAATACTCACTGTTCTTCTTGTACATCAAAATTTCAAAGGAATTCATCTCATAGTTCTCAAATGTTTGCCGCACCTTTTCAATTGTGTCTTTATCGGTCAGCTCCCCATACATAAAACTGCAAATCAACCAAAAAGCTCAAGTTAGTTTAATAAATATTGAGTATTGTACCAGCATATGTTAAACATCTCTCCTATACCTAGCACCGTGCTATGTGGAGTGAACACACACACACACAAACACACAATGAAAACATTCACTCAAAAGAGACTTACTGATTCACCAGCACTCTATCACCACCTCCCATCAAAATGAACAGAATAATAAGGGGAGACACACAGAAAAGAGTGGATCAGAAAACAGTGTGACCAACACATACAGAGTTACAGAACACAGAATTCAGGCACAGAGCCCTGCGTGGTCAGCAAAGGCTTCCCAGAGGTAAAGGCAAGTGAAATCTAAAGAGCAGGTGGAAATTAGATGGGGAAAGGAGGGAAAAGAACATTCCAGGTGAACGAAAAGTATGTGCAAAGGCAGAGAGGTGAGAATGAGGTTAATTCTGGAACCTGGATGTAGTTCAGTTCACTGTGACTGGAATAGACACAATGAGGGGAGATTTCACAACAGATAACAGAGAAAGATAAGCACAGACCAGATCATGAAGGAACACATGGCATGATAAGCCATGTGAAGTAATTTAAACCTTATCTTGAAAACAATGGGGGGAGAGACTCTGGAAGGTTTTAAGCAAAAGAGTTCCATAATCAGATTTGCATTTTAGAAGTACAACTCTGGGAAATTTCCTGGGAAAGATGGCAGAGTAAATCTGGACCACGGATTCTTTCCTCTTCTAATTCCCAAGCAAATAAACAAAAGAATAGGAAAAATCACAAAAATTCATCAACCAAAGAATTGCACCAAAGGGTGCAATCTGATGTTCTAAACATTAAGGCAAAGCTAAGGAAAGAAACAGAAGATTCAGCCACTGTGTGTGCAGCTCTGCTTCCTACCCACCCCACCCCATCCCCCAAAAAACCACTGGGTTTAAAAAACTGAAATGATAAAATCCTACAATTCTTACCCACACACCTCCCGACTGCTCACATTTGGAGAAAAGTAGACTAAGGGGGGAAATAAGTAGCATGAAAGAAAATGAGAGAAAACCTCCAGATAGAACTTCCTACTAATTCTGGTTCTCAGCAGAGGCAGGAAAACTGCCAGGACTGTCCATTTTCCTGGGCCCCATTGTGAATATGGTTTGTCCATCTGGGAATAAGATACACCCCCAGCTAGGTAGAGTAAACCACGGCACAGGAAACTGACAACATGGGAGAGGAGAAAAGCCATCTCTCAACGGGGCAGGAAAAGCCAGTCCTCAGACAAAGGCTCTCCATGGCCCCAGCGAGCATTTCCCCTGTCCACCTCCGGCCTTCATGCGACCAGAACAAGAAGGACACCAACACTCAGCCCCCAAGCCTCGGGTAAGGTGGAAGCAGGGATATGCATTCCTAAACAACACAATCCCCGTCTTCCAAAACTGTGCATACTGAATGCAATCTTTCTCGTGACGACTTGAATCACAGAGTCCTAGAACTGCAGAGCCACAAAGAACCTCAGAGGCTACCACCAGCTCCAAGGCCTTGCTTGGCTTGATACTGGACCAGCCTTGAGCTTACTGCAGGCTTGCGGTTGCCCGCGCTCTGCAAGGAAAACTGCCCTCGCTGTTGACTTTATGAATTCTGTGTCACTTCTGTTACTATGCCCCTTCTCAGCTCTCTGAGAGACATGATTATCTGCGGTTGCCCTTGTGCTTCTCTCGTGGAGCACTCCGCTCTTCATCTATAAATCAGGAAAACGGATAACCGAGCGTGTTGAGTTATCTTTAAAAAGATGGCTCGATCAAGACTAAATTAGCCCTGCCTGAGAACAAGAGGACTTCTCCTAGGAGGCAAAACGTAAGCTCTGTGACCATCTTATTTAGCCAGTTGCCTTTTTAGCTTCCTCCCACTTTCTCTTTCTGAGTTAATTTGCTGGATAAGTGACCTCCCTTTAAGCGACACGATGGTTTTACAGGCCAGCCATTTCCTTCACAAGGTGAAACAAATCCCTGTACAATGGAGACTTGAAAGAAGTGAGGGGCCATAATTACACCCAGCTTTCATTAGTCTTACGTACTTCCTCAAACTATAATTTACTGGTAGCTGTAAGTTTCCTTAACCTGGACATTAGATTTCAAATACCTGCAATGCAAGAAATAAGCACAAGAGGCTCCTGAGCTATTAGGAAGGTAGCCAGCACGAAGGCAGGTTTACTTTATCTTTAGGAAAGGGACACCTTCAGGGAAATAGTAAGTTTCCTACAACTGTGCATGAAAGAAAAGGTGGCTAAATTTGCAAGTTATCTTATCTGATCTTCTTCAAGGGTCCGGTTAGAGCCAATAAGAAGCAAGAAAGGGAAGGAAACGTTGCTCAGGTCACACCAGAAAGTGAGGCTATCTCTCCTGATTTGTTTTGATTATATATATGCAAATATCGTTGTAGATGCAAATACAGAGACAGACGCTAACGAGGATTACAGCACACCACAAATGTAAGAGAATTCTATCGCAGGACTTAAGAGTCACAATTTCTACACCTTCGAGGGAAGAAGGGGAATCTTAAATTTCCCATTTCCCAGCCCCAAACACCTAAAATTTAAGAAAATGGTATTTTCGAAGCACTTAATACTTTTCACCAGAACTAGTCACATGGCTGATTTAAGACCATCAAAGTGCAACTTCTGGAAACCGAAGACGATGCGTGTGTCAGGTTTTTCCACCCTTCAGAGACGACTTTATTTCTTGATTTGGCAGGTCTGGGAAAATGATTCCACTTCACGCAAACACCAGTGAAGACAAGACTCCGAAGAAGGAGTGAGAAGGACTGAGAGGAGCCGAGGGCTGTGCTGAGCCAAGACCTTGCCAGGGCACCGCAGCGGGGCATCTGGCAGGGCCGGGCACAGGCTCTGCTCGGCTCCACACCTTGTAGATGCTTTAAAAGAGCCTTTCTAGTGCCCTGGCCCAAGGGTACTGCTTGGTGAGGAACCCTTTCAAATGCCCAGGCGGCGTACGCTCTTAACGCCATTTGCCTCTGCCCTCGAGTGAGCCACCAGAGATGTGACAGCATGAATTAGAAGGCAATCGAATCTCAGTTCTCTTCTCTTTTTCTGGCAAAAGCCCTATGAACAAGGCCCTTGGCTCCAACATCGTAGGGATTCTTCTCAGTCACGTAGTCTCAAAAATTAATCTAATCACCTAAAATTTTATTTCATTTTCATTCCCTTTTATAGAATCATCTAACTTTCATATCACTTTGTCTAACACCTCATAAACTTCTGAGTCCCTATTTTCTAGATAAAACGACTTTCCTGAGTTTCCCTAGGTGTCCCCGTCTCAGCGACTTACAAGTCCAGTCAGTTTGCAGAGACCGTGTTTGAAGCCTTCTTTGATTCCCCGGTTATAGTGCGTGAACGAGAGACGACATTACCATAAATGTTCCTGAAGAAACACGAAGTGAGAGAAAGGCAATCCCCACACTGAGTAAGCCGTTTTGTTTTTCCAGAAGATACCATGATAGACTGTTCAACAGAACCACCCCGACCATAAATACCTGCAGGTACTGCTTTTTTGCATCACTTCCGCCCTGTGATAGCCAGACAGCTTGCAAAATCCGTCATTGCTGTACACGATAGGCCAGTCCACTATCTGGGCATTCCCCAACACAAAATTAGTATCTGTTAAAAAAAAAAAGAAGAAGAAGAAGAAGAAGAAGGAGGAGGAGGAGAAAAGAAAAGAAAAAGGCACAGGAGGCAAGACATTAGTTGAGATTCAGTGAGGACATAAATAATGTCAACCAATCCAGGTCTCTTGGCTTCCCTCTAAAACAGTCTCTTCAACAGGAAAATGGCCCTGTGAGGAATATAAAAGAACAGTCCTTTAGAGCTGAATATTCTGAATTCAAATGCTAAGGTTGTTGTCCTCCAAGAGGAAGTTAGCAAAGGATCATATTTAACCAACCAACCAATGAATCCTGCAGAAATCCAGTGATTCCCATGAGACATGTTCAAGTCCTAACTCATCTCAATTAAAGTCCACGGGTACTCTGGAGCAACAGAGAATGCAAAAGGAATTTCTTCTGGGCTCCATCTAGCATCTTAGCCTTGTCAGTCTTTTGGCCAAAAGCTACAAATTGGCCTTGTTGACCCTGATTAGCATTTACCCATTCTAGGAGGAGAAAATCTTCTTAGGCAAAGGAAGGGAGATGGAGGATTGCCTCGTGCAACACACACACCAGAGAGCCCTCCTCTTGGTAAGGAACTGACTAGACGCTCCTAATACTAGAGCCTTATAGAACCTGATCAAGATGCTTGCAATGGCAAAAACCTTCTTGCTGAGATTTTGTAGCCACAGAAGCCACATTTCAGAGCTCTTTCACTGACCACCAGCCCACATTCACTTCGGATGCAGGGATTAAGAGGGCCAGAGACGTATGGCTGCTTGGTGTGTTCTCACCACTTTCCACGTTTTTCAAGATCAAAAGTCTCAGTACTTTCTGTGCTCAGGCAATCAACTGTCCCTCTTTTTCTCTTCAAGACCTTAAATTAGGCAAATAACATCCAGAACTTAAATATCAGCATTATTTTAGCTTGGCTCTCTCCTTCCCACAGAATACTTACCCCTTCACCAAGAAAAGAAAAAAAAGAACATGCACACAACCCTTCTTTTGTTGTAAACGGGAGGGGTTTTGTTTATATGTGCATACCGTGCAAAGGGAAATAGTAGTGACATATGATGTCCTCATTTAATTGGGAGGTTAATTTTGTTCTAGCACAGCATCTACAATTTATTCACAATATTGGGTAACCATCCCTCCTTATCTATGTGGGGAGGAGTAGAGGAACCAAAGGGAGGAGAAATAACTAAATATGATAATCTATTCTTAAAAATGCTTTCATCTATTTAAAAGGAACATAAAACACAACTTTCAGGAAGTTAATCTATACACCTGTTAATTTTATAAATATACTTTTACTGAAAATCTACAACCAGTCTTTCCCTCCATCTCGCCCATATAATCATGAATACTTCCTGAGTACCAAGCACATTACGAGACCCTAGAGATATCCAGCCTGATGAGATGTGGTCCATGCATTCCAGGAACTTATCAGGACAAAAAGACATGTGCACAACTAACTAAAGAAACCAGTAATAAAATGATTAACTCTGAGGGAGGTAAAGGACTATGTCTCAGAGGGGTCACATTTGAACTTGCTCTAATCTGGAAGGATGAGTAAGACTCATTCAAACATTTGAATGCCTAACATGTAACTACCACATATGATACAAAAACAATATTTAGAGAAGTGAACATATATTGCCTGCCTCTGGTAAACTCAAGAGGTTGTGGGAGGAAGGGAACATTCCAGGCTAAGGACCAGCATGAGCAAAGGTCTGGCAGCATGGAACACATAAAGACTGGCATAGACAGACAAAGGGCAGCCAGGAAGATTGGCAGGAGATGAGCCTGAAGACCAGACTGGGATGGGCTTGACTGTCAAAGATCTTTGACAATTCTGTAGAGACAAGATAATCCTTCAGGTATACCACTAGGATGGCTATAATAAAAAAGACAACAGCAAGTGTTGATGAGGATGTGGAGAGATTGGACCCCTCATCCTGGAACCCCTGTACACTGCTGATGGGAATGTAAAATGGTGCATTCAATTTGACAGTTTGGCAGTTCTTCAAAAAGTTAGGCATAAAGTTACCATATGACTCAGCAATCCTATTCCTAAATAAGTGCTCAAGAGAAATGGCAACATATGTCTACACAAAAACTTATACATGAATGTTCATAGCAACAGTATTCATAATAGCCAAAACGTGGAAACAATCCAAAATATCCATAAACTGATAAACAGATAGACAAAACGTGGTATCTATTTGGCAATAAAAAGAAACAAAATACTGATACATATTGCAACATGGATGAACCTTAAAAATATTATGCTAAGTGAAAGAGGCCAGACACGAAAAGTCACCTATTTTTGGTTCCATTTATGTGAAATGTCCAAGCAGCAGCAAATCCATAGACAGAAAGTAGATTCATCGTTGCCAGGAGCTGGAGGAGAGGGGTAGGAAGATGGAGTGACTGCCAATGGGTATAGAGTTTCTTTTTTGGGGTGATGAAAATGTTCTGGAATGTGATAGTGGTGATGGATACATAACTCTGTAAATACACTAAACAACTGTACATTTAAAAAGTATGAAATTCAAGGTATGTGAATTATTATCTCAATAAAGATGTTATTTAAAAAGGGGGGGATAACCCTTCATGTTGATCTTCTCTTCCTGAGTTATTCTTGAACAGAACAACTAAGCCCTAAAAGAAGTACAAAAATCATTAAATCAGAGGCGGCTGGGTGGCTCAGTCAGTTAAGCGTGTGACTCTTGATTTCAGCTCAGGTCATGATCTCAGGGTGGTGAGATCGAGCCCTGTGTGGGGTTCAGCGTGGAGCCTGCTTAAGATTCTCTCTCTCTCTCTCCCTCTCTCTCCTTTTGCCCTCCCCCCACACACACGTGGCGCTCACTCTCTTTAAAAAAAAAAGAAAGAAAGAAAGAAATTCATTAAATCACCCTTAAATGTATATGAAGTCCAGTCAGTTTAACTTTCTTGTTGACTCCTGAAAGTATAAGTAATTTCCCTCAAAGACCTCATATAGTTGGGAAAAACTGAGTGAGCTCTTTCATGACTAATGCCCCACTAAAGTTATGGGCTAAGAGGGAATAATAGCCAGTTATAGATAATGATTTGACTGCATGTGTTTATTTTCTCTCCTATCCTAGGCACCTTTGAAATAAAAGTAAATGAATTAAAAAGGTAAAAATCCACACAAAAATTAAGAGTAAAAAAGAACAGAAAAAATGACAATGGAAGAAGCAGAAATAATATAGGAAACAAAAAATAACTTTTTTTTTTTTAAAGATTTTATTTATTTATTTGACAGAGACACAGCGAGAGAGGGAACACAATCACGGGGAGTGGGAGAGAGAGAAGCAGGCTTCCCGCCGAGCAGGGAGCCCGATGCGGGGCTCGATCCCAGGACCCTGGGACCATGACCCAAGCTGAAGGCAGACGCTTAACGACTGAGCCACCCAGGCGCCCCACAAAAAATAACTTTTTAAAAAATCCCCAATTAGTATCCTCAGAGAGATTCAAGAGTTATTACAACCATAAACTAGAACAGGATGCTATGAAAAAGAGAGAGAGAAAGAGAACAATTAAGACCCCCTGTAAATTAAAAATGAGTAATTAAAAATTCAGCATAAATATTAGAAGATAAAGTCTCATAGAGAGTAGTACAGAGACAGAAATATTTCTTTTTTTTTAAGGATTTTATTTATTTATTCATGAGACAGAGAGAGAGAGAGGCAGAGGGAGAAGCAGGCTCCCCACTGAGTAGGGAGCCCGATGCGGAACTCGATCCCAGGACCCTGGGATCACAACCTGAGCCGAAGGCAGACACTTAACCATCTGAGCCACCCAGGTGCCCGAGACAGAAATATTTCTTAAAATAAGACATAGAGCATCAATCCAAGAGGAACAACATGCATCCTAACAGGAACAAGAGAAAGAACAACTTGAGAAAAAGCCAGAGACATTTTTTAAAAACTAAAACAATCAAATGCGAGGGTAGAATAAAGATACTCAGATGTGCAAATACCTAGGAAAGTTATATCTCACATATTCTTTTTTTTTAAGCTTTATTCATTTCTTTATTTTAGAGAGCACGTGACTGGCAGGAGGGGGAGGGGGAGAGAGACTCCTCAAGCAGACTCCCCACTGAGCGCAAAGCCCAACACATGGCTCGATCCCAGGACCCTGATATCATGACCTGAGCCGAAATCAAGAGTCAGATGCTCAACCGACTGAGCCACCCAGGCACCCTTCCCACATATTCTTTCTTGGGAAGTTACTTGGGGATGCTTATCAGCAAAGTGAAGGAATAAGGAAAGAAGATAACATGAGAACCAGGGGGCGTAAAGTGGCTCCAAATATAGAAAGTAGGAAGGAAGCAAACAGAAAGCATTCAGCACAGAATGGTTCAGAGAACAGAAGTTCCAGAAGAGAGTTATCTAGAGATAAAGGAGGTCAGTACTTGATGATATTCCTGATCATTTGAAACAACATAAAAAGTTAATATAGGGGGCACCTGGGTGGCTCAGTCCGTTAAGCGTCTGCCTTCCACTCAGGTCATGATCCCAGGGCCCTGGGATCAAGCCCAGCATCTGGCTCCCTGCTCAGCCAGGAGCCTGCTTCTTCCACTCCCGCTGCCCCTCCCCCCCAGCTCGTGCTCTCACTCTCTCTCACTCTCTCTAATAAATAAATAAAATCTTAAAAAAATAAGTCAATATAAGTACATGATTTGGGGGTGGGGAGTGGGCAGGAAAAGAAAGTAGAAGAATCAAAGAAAACAAAAGCTGTGCAAGAAGGGAAACCAAATCACACCATGTCTCATCACTGTCAGAACAGCGTAAACACCTTATTAATTTCCAATTTTTAAAGCCAACATATAGAAAAGCATGAAATATTTAACTGTAAGTATCTGAATATAATCCTATCAATTTCAACACCATAAAAATACAAATGATAAGTTTAGAGAGGAAAGTGAGAACAATCATGGGATGGTGTCTAGAGCTGATATAATAAAAAAGAAAGGTATAAATATTTTAA